AAGCATGTGTGAATGCCTTTCTAATATCAATTTCTATCGTGTGTTCTGGCATGTAAAACATCTTGTCATCTTTGTTTGTGTGTGGGTTGTATTGGAAGTAGTGTCTGTTTATCTCACCAACTGGGTTTATCGTTCTACATTCCTTAAACAATTCCATGTCAATCTCATTGTAGTATGACTTATGTAGTGGATTAAACAAAGACTTATTAAATACATACATTGCTTTAGACATGTTGTTGTAGATCTGCTCAGTTCTCACTGATATAGTTCCGTCAATGGAGTTGTTTACTAGGTTCTGGGTCTTAACTTTGTATTTGATGACATTCTTTTTTATCCTGAATTTAAAATTAAGTTCCGATACTATACCTGCACTGAATTTAACTTGCGGTTCGTATCCTGCCTTTTTGCTTTCATAAAAGAGCTCGGCAAGGTCATGACCATCATATATCAATGTATACTCAGCATGTTCGTTATATTTCTTTATGTCGTTAAGTGACTGTATCATTTTACATTGAACGGGTTCGTCCTTCTCATTCAGGTGATAATCTGGTGAAGCCTTCACTGAAATCTCATACCCAGAGTTTCTTGGTAACATCTGCCTTAATACATTCAAATTATCGGTTACTGTGTATATGTGGTTGTTCTTCACAATGGCATATAATGTTGGTATATGATGATCTCGTTTGGGCGGGTCATACTGAAAAATCAATCTCTCAAAAGCATTGTATATTCTGACTTGGACCCTGTAGTGCTCAAACACTTTAACCATTTCCTTTATTGATGCACCTGATGTTTTAAAATCCTCTTCTGACTTACCTATCAGGGTCAACATGCTCTGTCTGGTTAGTCTGTTCTTTTCTCTGCGCTTTTCTCCCATAAGTGTGTCCTTATAGTAATCGGTTATGGTGTTCAACCAACACTGGTTTTCTTGATAATGGTTTACTTTGATTGCTTCCTTTAGTGTTTCGTATTCTGGGTTTAATGGAGTTTGTATGTATCTGTGGAACATGCTCACATGGGAGGTGTCAGTTAAATTCTCGTCCACTGGTATAAAATCAGTGTCACCATCTACTCTGTCTACATCCTTAACTTTGATGCACACTATATAGGGATGGACGAAGCGAAGGGTTTCCTCCATATCTGGGTCAGACATTATTGTCTTCATCAGTTTCTTGAAAACATACCTGTCTTTGGTCTCGTATTGAAACACACGTCTGCCCGATAAGTCTTCTATATAGTCTGTTGTTTGTATAGTTGCTCTCTTAGTCTCATACCAGATCGGGATTAGGGGTCTACCCTTGCTGTCTTTGAAGGATGCTTTGATGGTATCCTTGGGGAGTTTAAATTTGAAGAACATAAGGTCTACGGAATATGCATGTGTTGTTTTGGATTGTTCCGCTCTCACCCTCTTCTGTATTCGCTGAACTGCGGTCTTCTGTGTTAGTCGTCTGCGGATTTCTGTGAGTTTGTTGTCACGCTTTGCTGTTTGCATTCGTTCACCCAATGGTTTCTTTTCCTTGTGTTTTTCGTATACCTTGTTGTATTGGTCACTTGCCTTTTGCATTTGTTGGTCTGTCTTGGCATTGATGAAGTTCCTTATTAGTTTGTCTGCTGTTGTGAACTGCGCTATTTTTCTGTCATCGTATAAGCCGATGATATTTTTGATTTTTGTTTTGGTTGCTCTGTTAAGTCTGCCTTTATAAAAGTCATACACTGTCTCTAATGCTTTTACACCGCGTTGGATGGTCTTACTCATGTCAATATAATTAGACTATAAAATAATTTTATATTTAAATGTTTTTCTGAAGATAAGTTTTGAAAACTAAATATTTTTTTGGGAAATTCTGTTCAGAAAATTCACTTAAAGAAATATTATAATATATAGTATAGTATTATGTCTATGAAAACCCCAGAGGATATGACCATGGAAGAGATAAGAGAACAGTTGGCAATTTACAACCGACTGTATTACTACAAGCGAAGACAAGATGAAGGATACATGCAGAAAAAACGCGATTCTGCCTTGAAGTGCATTCAAAAGAAGAAGTTAAAGCAATATCTAAAAGACAACAATATCAATACCACAATAGAAGATTTAACCGAAGAGCAACTGGCAGAATTCAACAGCAGTCAGAATAAGAAAGGACCGAAGTATGACATGAATAATGTTAAAGTTGTGATGCCCATGAAAGCAGAAGAATGCTGATTTAATTTTAGAAATAAGATTAAATCAATATTTTGTATTGTAGTTATATGAGTAAACAAGAAATAATTAATGATGTGTATTACGATCGCGCGGGATATGGGAGCAGACAGAGGACATTAAAGGAAGCGCGGGAGAAAGATAAAAGTATAACTATTGACGATGTTAACGAGTTTTTCAAGAAGAACGTGGAGGCAAAAAGAAAACCTGCGGGACAGAACAGTTTTGTAGCACCACATCCGGCATACGAGTATCAAATGGACTTGTTTTTTATAAACGATCTGGAAGATCAAAAGTTCAAGGTTGGTATGATCATGATAGATGTCTTTGATAAGTTTATGCATGTGGTAGCAATAAAAGGTAAGACAGAAGAGGATTTAGCGAGTGGTATGATTGAGTGTTTGCATAAGATGGGGAAAAAACCTAAAATACTCTATACGGATGATGAAGGCGCTCTGTCTAAAGAAGCTATTCAAGCATATTTAAAGGAACAGAAGATAGAGCACCACAGGACAAGGGCACACGCGAATTTCAGTGAGAGGGCGATCAGAACTTTTAAGGACATGTTATACAAAAGAGTTGAGGCTGATGAGAAAAAGGGGAAAAGTAATATTCAATGGACTGATTATATTTTTGAGATACTGATTACATATAACACTCAAATGATACATTCCGCTACAAAATTCACGCCGAAAGAGGCGCGGAAACCGAGTAACGAATTAAGCGTCAGGTTGAATATTGCCAGTAGTGGTAAACGTAATAGGATATATCCGGATCTTGACAAGGGTGACGAAGTCAAGATATTTAGGAAGCGAAAACCGAATGAGAAGGAAAGGGTCGGAAATTTCAGTAAAGGTGTGTATACAATAGAAAGAATAGAAAAGAAGTTAAGTCAAAGTCATTATTATGTGGAAGGTAACCCTGACCGTCCCTATCTTCGTTTTGAGTTGTTGAAAGTGTAAAACCATTAAAAAAAGATGTTTAAAGAGGAATTGCAAGTATAAGATATGGAAGAAAACAAATATAATAGAGGCAAGATTTACAAATTAACGGACAATGGTTATAACAAATGCTATATAGGTTCAACGACAGAAACACTGTCAAACAGATTGGCGAAACATCGCAACGCTTACAGGAGATATAGTAACAACGATGCCAAAAGAACATCGTGTTTTGACATTTTTGAAGAGTTCGGAATGGAAAACTGCAAGGCTGAACTTATTGAAAGTTACCCATGTGCATCTAAAGAGGAACTGAACGCAAGAGAGGGGTATTATATCAGGAACACAGAATGTGTAAATAAACTCATTGCAGGAAGGAAGTGGAAAGAATATCATGATGACACAAGAGAGCTGAAATTGGATTATGCCAAGAAATACAGAGAACAAAATGCAGACAAAGTTAAGGCAAGGGAGAAGGCATACAGAGAAAGTCATAAACGTGAAAAAGCAGAACGGGACAAGTCCTATCGGGAAAGGAATAAGCAGAAAATTGCAGAGCACAGAAAACAGTATTATCAGCAAAACCAAGAAAAACTAAAAGCATATCACCGACAACGAACGCAATGTGATTGCGGAGGGCATTTCACCATAACTCACAAAAACAGGCATTATGACACACAGAAGCACAAAGACTGGCAGGAGAAGCAAAACTTGTGATGATCATAATATTATTAATGATGCTAATAATATTATGCTCCATTTTCAAAAATATATTTATTTTTCTTCAGAAATGTATTTAAAGAAATATTGTCTATATATGTTAGAATACAATGATGAAACATTTCGTTTTGATTTTGAATGTGGAGTATGCAAAGAACACAGAAACAGAAAGCGAGAGGTGCTGATGTGTATATTTGATGAAAACGTTACTGATAATATTACCTCTTATCTTGCCTGCCATTGTTGTTCAGAAATACTAGAGTATGAGACGATTTATGATCAAGATAAATATAACAAATTATGTAAGGCTGAAAAACAAATTCATTGTATCTTTAACTTTGTTGATAAGTCATACCAAAAGTTAGAGAACAACAAGAAAAAGAAGGAGTGTTTAAAGAAAATAATAGAACGTTCGTATTTGTATAATCACGCAACCAAATTACTAATGAAGAAGTTTATAAATGATACAGATTTGTTTCATATGTTTGACAGTTATAAGAGAAACTTTATTCTGAATACGATGGGGTATTTTAGTTTCCAGTATGCAGGGAGAATGAAGGAAACGGTCACATACAGAACATGCTACGAGGATTATATTGTAAATGTGTTTAAAAGCATACTTGTGACATACATAGAAAATCAAATACACTTACAGAGACAAAATTTTGACTTTACTACAATATGCGATTATATAGCAGATCAAAAATTGTGATGATCATAATATTATTATTGATGTTAATAATATCATGATCGTGAAACGCTTCTTTTTAGTAACTTGATTTTCTTATTTTGTTTTCTATTTGTTTTGTTGATTTCTTGTTTTTTGTTTGTTTTTGCTCAGTGGTTTGTATGAGATTTTAATATGTATCAATGTCTTTAATATTTAATACAAATAAACGCCCCAAAGCTCCCTACACCATGTGTGTCAAACTTATTTGTGCGTCCATTTGTGCTTCGCTGTGATTGTGTGTGTATATGGCTTTCCTAGGGGGGCAGGGTTCGAGCATACAAAACTGCCCACGACCTTCATCTAGCGACAGTGTTTTACCATCCGCGAGCATGCCGAATGCTTTGGCAGCAGGTGAAACTCTAACACATGCGGACACACATGGGCTAATTGATTCGTCTGAACATGTCTACGTGTCGCCTGCGAAGGCAGCCTCCTCTGGAAGAACTCGCTTCGGCTCCACTTCACGACACAAGCGCTGCATGAGGGTTTTCATGCGATCTTGGCATATGCCAAAGAACTTGTCACGAACATTGGCATCTTTCGGATCAGGGAGTTCACTATGAGTCTCGTGAGCAAACTCTAATTGCATGTAAAGGCTTGCCATGAAAGGTTTGCGAATGACGATGTTTTGCCGATGCAAGTCACGAAACCTAATAGGCTGCGTCTGCAAGACTTTCTTCTTGCTCTTGCTCTTGTTTGTGTTCTTGCCCTTCCTCTTCGGCTCCTGAACGATGGGTCTTTCAAAAGGAACCGGCTCGATCAATTTCTGCTTCTTGTCCGACCACATGACAGGTTCATCATGCAGAAATGCGGCAACGTGGATTTGTAGTGTGACTTGCGTCTCGGGTTCTGATACATCAGAAAGAGTGCCGGCGTCGCTGCACAACTGCTCGCCTGCTGCCTCCACTGGAATCAGCACCATGTGACCATCCTGGAACTGTGACTCCAAAGCTTTTACCAGCAACAGTCCATTCCGAGGATGTCTGGTCACGATGCCCAAGTCTTTTCCTTCCGTCTCCATGCTCTTCTTGTAGATGTGCTCACCCACGGGCAGGAAATAATCGGAACCAAAGTAATAATCCTCACCCCAGTCTTGAAGACACTCTGGAAAAATTTGACCCAAAATCATGCATGAAGTCGTCTTATAATATGCTTGGCACTTGCTTTCAAACTCGCGATCGAAGGTGGAGTGGGTAGCAGCACGGAAGCCGTATAGTTGCTTTGCCATCCTGGGCAAAACATCTCCCTGAACCTCCTGGATCCGCTTCACCTCGCCCACTTCCAGCTTGACCTCGCCCACTTCCAGCTTGACCTCGCCCAAGTCCTGCTTGACCTCGCGCTTGACCTCGCCCAAGTCCTGCTTGACCTCGCGCTTGACCTCGCCCAAGTCCAGTCGCAGGCTCTCCAACTTCTGTATCATACTGTCCTGACTTTGCAGGTCACTTGCACGCAGGAAGCAAGACTGCAACAATTTTTCACGAATGCACCCTAAATCCTTAAGCACCCGAACCACCAAACTATCCAAGCATTAAATCCTAGCAGGGACCAAACCTCCTAGCGTGGACTACTTAAGGGGACTGTAGGCTAATTTTTGGGGCAGGAATATGAACCTACCAAAGGCTATAACCCTTTTGGGCACTGATGCACCTCCGATGGCTGGGTCTGGGACTTCAGGAGCATGTTCTGAGCGAACTGTTCACGCTCCTTTGCATTGGCCACCGTGTCGCGCAAATGCTGGACATACTGATCATTGCTGCTTTCCATCTTGAGTGCTTCCCCCAACTCTCCGCGGGCTTGATCATGTGCTGTCTTGGCCTCTTCCCATTCGGCATGCCAGTCCTGTTCACCCGACCTCGCCTTTTTGGAAGGAGGCGCAGATGGGGTATCAGCCATGGGCGCTCGCAGGGAGCAACTCACAGGTCTCTCCCTGTCATACCATGCCTAAGCCTACATGATCCTTGAATTCCTCATGCTGGAATCTGCTCAGAATTTTCGTGTGTCATCCGCAAGGCGAGCGCATTAGGCAAGAAATCTTGCGGTTCATGGTGTTCCCCACATCCTACAGCCTAACCTAATCTGAGTACTATCTACGAGGGAACCCTTGCCCATTTTGGGTAATAATACCACCTTAGGGAATATGGATGGGGTAATTGGTTATTCCTATACTGGTCTTGGTAATGGGGTAGTAGTAGTGATATATTGGGTGGGATGTAGTAGGGAGTATAGGAATATTCCTCTTATATGGATGAGGTAATCGGTTATTCCTATACTGGTCTTGGTAATGGGGAAGTAGTGGTGATATAGTTGGTGAGGTGTAGGGGGGAGTATAGGAATAATCGTCTAATGGGTTGACTGGTGGTATTATTACCCAAAATGGGCAAGGGTTCTGCTAACTAAAAAACCCTAAACTCTAAAAAACCCTAAAACCCTAAACCCCTAAAGCCCTAAAACCCTAAAACCCTAAAACCCTAAAACCCTAAACCCTAAACTCTAAAAAACCCTAAAAACCCTAAAACCCTAACCCCTAAAACCCTAAACCCCTAAAACCCTAAAAAACCCTAAAAACCCTAAACCCTAAACCACAGGCATGGGCATCAGAGAGCTGCAGCGCTTAGGGTTTAGGGTTTAGGGTTTAGGGTTTAGGGTTTAGGGTTTAGGGTTTAGGGTTTAGGGTTTAGGGTTTAGGGTTTAGGGTTTAGGGTTTAGGGTTTAGGGTTTAGGGTTTAGGGTTTAGGGTTTAGGGTTTAGGGTTTACAGGCCCTAGAAGATAGACGCTACAACACATTCTTTAACAATACCTACGCTCTGAGACCCTGAAACCTAAGCCGTTTAAAGTGAAAATTCTGAAGCTCCAAAAGCACAGAGCTCAAAAGCCGGGACTGAAGCACCCCAAAAACCCATAACCCCAAACCGACACACCCTGCACAAACCCTCAAACCGTGCAGTCCTGCTCTCGATCCGGGGTCCCGAACCCCCACCCGTCTCCTCAGCCTCACTAAGCCACGGCTGCAAGCACCTGCGGAAGAGAGGCTTTCGGCTGTGCTCGGGACTTTCGTAGGGTTTAGGGGTGGTCGCGTATGGAGGAGGGAGGCTGTAAAGCTGCTGCCAAGAACTTGGGGTTTCAAGCCACAAATTCTCCCCGCAATAGCCCCGAGCCGACGCCCACGCGCTCTAGGCCTCAGAGTCAAACAAACACTCTAGAGTTTAGGGTTTGGGGTTTAGGGTTCGAGGGTTCAGGATCAAGCGCACGATATATCCTGCTGTCTCTTCAACGTGTCCAGCAGACTTCACTGGCCAACACATCAACCACGCCCAAACACATGCCCAAACAGGCACACACCTTCAACCCCTAAATCAGCTACACCCCAAACCGCTATAAGCCCTAAACCCTCAACCCTCAACCCTCAACCCTCAACCCTCAACCCTCAACCCTAAACCCTAAACCCTAAACCCTACACCTAAGCTAAGCCCTTGACCCCAGGACCCCCCAACAAGCCCCGAGCCCAATTGAGCGCGCTGCTGCAGCGGACCCAAGGAGGGGAGCGAGTCGGCGACTTCGAAGGTGTAGGAGCCTTCCGGGCGATGCTTAAGGGGTTTAGGGTTTAAGGTTTAGGGTTTAGGGTTTGGGGTTTGGGTTTAGGGTTTAGGGTTTAGGGCTTAGGGTTTAGGGTTTAGGGTTTAGGGTTTAGGGTTTAGGGTTTAGGGTTTAGTTTAGGGTCTAGGGTCTAAGGTTTAGGGTTTGGGGTTGAGGGTTTGGGTGGCGGGGTTTTTGCGGCAACTTGAACTGCTATCCTGGAGACTGGCACAAGCCTCCCAAAGCCCTTCAAAGCGTAAAGCCTGTAAACCCTGTAAGCCCGAATTACAGCCTAAACCGTAAACCCTAGACCCTAAACTCTTCAAACCCATGGCCCTTAAACCTCTAAACCGTAAAGCCCTTAACCCCAAAACGTCCTAACCCCAAAACATAAAACCCTAAACCCTACACCCCTAAACCTTGAAGCTACTAAGTACTTATGGGCATGGGGTTTTCGGGTTTCAGGGTTGAGGATTTAGGGCTCAAGGCCTACGGTGACAGGCTTGAACCCCAAACCCCAACCCCAGACCCCCAGACCCCAGACCCCAGACCGACCCTAAACCCTCAACCCTAAACCCTAAAAGATGAGCTTTGAGAGGCCCCGGCGCAGAAATCTGTACACGTCGCCTGGGCGGCGGGGTTGCAGAGGGAGAAGCTGGAGACCCCAAAACCCTAAGACCCTGAAGCCCCAAGCCCCGAAAAGCCTAAAGCCTAGCCCTAAACCCTAAACCCTAAACCCTAAACCCTAAACCCTAAACCCTAAACCCTAGCCCTAAACCCCAAACCCCAAACCCTAAACCCAAAACCCTAAACCCTAATCCCTAGCCCTAAACTCTAAACGCCCTACGCCCTCAAACCCTAAAACGCAAAGCCACAAACACCGAAAACCCTAACCCTTGCAGCCCCAGGCTTGTTTAGGGTTTAGGGTTTAGGGTTTAGGGTTTATGGTTTAGGGTTTAGGGTTTAGGGCTTAGGGCTTAGAGTTTAGGGTCTAGGGTCTAGGGTCACCCTAAGCCCCTAATCTCCGGAAGCGCAAGGGGTTAGGGTTTAGGGGGGTTTTCGGGGTTGGGGCTTTGGGGTTTTAGATCACGGCTTCAGGATTATTTAGGGAGTCAAGGCTTCAGGGTCTATTAGGGCTTAGGGTTTTGTCGTCGTTTTTTGGATTTCGATTTCCAGTGCCCATGCTGCGCAACTGGCACCGTCAATCCCTCGTGCCTCACGCGACTCAGCCACTTAGACTGTGTGCGGGCGACAAAAACAGGAGGGGGCCCCCACAATGTTTTGAGTGATTCTATATCAGCATGCTCATAAACCACCATTCCTCCTATTAGATTAAATAAGGTACCATGACCCGCAATTATTGTCAAGACGGATCTCTGACACGCAGTAAACAAGCAAAACATGACCCCCTGAACGACTGGAGAGCCTTTGCAGTCCGCAACCAGACCGCAAGCAACGCCCGCAACCCACACAGTCCTAAAACCTGCAGCCCTTGTAAAAACCCCAAAGCCACTTCACCCCAAACTCTAAGGCCGAAGGCCCCAAAAAGACGGAGGGTTTAGGGTTTCGGGTGTATCGGGTTCAGAGTTCAGGGTTTACGGTTTAGGGAGGTCTAGCTTCCACGATGGCTTGGCCCGGCACGCAGCTGCTCGTGAACTGATAACAGCTCCTGGACAGCCAGTGCCGATGTTCATTGGAGGTGTTCGTGCTGAGGCCTTGCATTGCAACATCAAAAGTGCGTTTCCTTCGAGGATCCCTAAACCCTAAACCCTAAACCCTAAACCCGAAACCCGAAACCCTAAACCCTAAGGGTACGTGTATATCCCCCCCCTGCTTTTTTAGGCATTCTTGAGGATTTAACTGTGTTAAGTTTTTTCTGGATGTTTTAACCCTGTTAAGGTCTAAGGGACTTGCTTTCTTGAAGATAACCGTGTTAAGGTGGAAGGGACTGAGCCTTGGATCCAACCCAATATTGAATATTGACATTTTTTTCAATACTCAATATTGGGTGGGATCCAAGATCCAAGATCCAAGATGCCCACGGGAGAATTTCCGGATCAATCTTCGATCCAGGGCCCGGGTGGGATCCAAGATTGCTTCAGAATTTCTCCCGTGGGCATCCTGGATCTTGGATCTTGGATTCTGCCCGGTATTGAATATTGAAAAAAACTCAATATTCAATATTGGTGTTGGCCCTAGATTAATTATGCCTGCGAGGTCTCTCGACTGCACAGCGGCTTTATAACTATGGGTTAGGGTTTGATTTATATACACATATGTAAACCCATAAGAACATGGGGAACCGCATCGCGCCCCAATAAGCAAAACAAAACATCTATCCTAAAGACTTTACCTTAGCGAAGACATCTCAAGCAACCATCCCCCGATAAGCAAAACTTGAATTCCATCATTTGACGAGTTTGTTTATATTTTGAATCCCAAGAATTAGTGAAAGTGACGAGCTCTGCGGATATGTGTATATGACAAGGTTATAACTTGTTGGCTGCGGTTATAACTTGGTTCAGGGTTTGATTTATATACATGTAATAAACCGAAAAGAAGCCCCAATAAGCAAAACAAAACATCCATCCTAAACGCTTTACCTTCGCCAAGATATCTCACGCAACCATCCCCCGATAAGCAAAACCTGATTTCCATCATCTAACAATATGGTTGGTTTATATTTTGACTCCCATGAAGTCGTGAAAGGACATTTGCTCACAGTATTCTCGCGTCACCGGGACGAAAGCCTTACAAAAACCGGCATAACCCTATGGGATTTGAGGTTTAGGGATTTAAACCCCAAGCCCTAAAGGTTTTAAGGTTCTATCGTACAGGGAATGCCCAAACCTTAAACCCTAAACCTTTAAACCCTATAGGGTTCAATGGTTCGAGAAAGCCTAAGGTCTGGGCATGTATACCTTCAGCACCACTCTTTAGAGTTAAACCTTTGAACCTTGTAGAGCCCTATCGGGTTTTAGGGCTCTGACCCTAAATGGTTCAGGGTTAAGGTTTAATTGCCCGAACCTTCAACCCTTAAGGTTAAAACTCTATGAGTTTTCGTTTCAAATGCTCTATGCGTTTAGGTTTAAAGTTTAAATTGCCTAAATCAAAATGCCTAACCCCTTAACCTTAACTCTATCGGGTTGAACGGTTAGGGTTTGGGTTTCATTGCGGGCTTACGTTTTAATGCCTCAATCTTAAACCCTAAGCCTGTCAACCTGAACCCTATAGGGTTGGGGTGCCTACATCATCACCGACTTTTTGCCGTGGTTATAACGGTGGTGTAGGGTTTGAATATATATATATATATACATAC